AGGGAAAGACTGGGTATGCATTTAGTATTATAAAAATCCTAGCAGACAAGCATGTTTTATTCATGGATACACAGTAAATGAATATGAAAGGTTCCAAATTGTCAATGAAAAATGTAGTCTTAGAAATATAGGCAATACAAAACTAGACCTACATTTTATGAGATTAATTCCTTTAGCTTAAAGAACATTTTGAAGCCTTGGGATCCTGGATGTAATTTACTATGTGAAATTTTCTGGTAAGATGGAGTGGATAGTAACAATATTTAAGTCTTTAGAAAGGTAGGATACATTGGTAATTTATTTAGAACTCTTAACATTTCCATTTTGCAAGGTAATAACATAGACCAATACTACAAGACACTAAATTGTGATGTTTTGTAGAAATTAATCTAACATCAACATTGCCTACAGTTCAATGCAGGATGTCCTGTAATCTGCTGATGAGCCAAAACAAATGTTAATTTCGTTACCTCCATTCCAAGTCAATGGGAGTTTCACCATTGACATGGAGCCCAGATTTCACTCAAAATTCATATTGAAAGACACCTTGGGGGTCAGAGTTCATCAGGGGATGCTTGTGGAAAACACATTCAATACCCAAACTTCATCTTACAAACCAATTGAATTATTTAATAAAATGTGCACAGTAAAATCCCATCTTTTTCCAGTCATTCATTCATGGATCTGGCATGAATCACATGGCTTTGAAATAATAAATGTATTAACTGGGAAAAACATCTATATTAAAACTACCATATCTACAGAACCAGGGCACAAGTGAGGTTCTATTACTTCTTTTTATTTTGTTAATTTTGTGCACTGATGATTAGGTTATATTTAGAGCAATAAAGCGAAAAAAAAGCTGAAACGTGTGCCTTTGCACTTTTTTGCTGGATACTGCCAAAGAAACCTGGTTTGGAAACCCAAGTGATTTGAGTGAACAGTTTATAGGGGATAGAAGCATTGCTCAGCAGATACATATTTTTGTATAGAACTCAACAATGAGAGAATAGCATAAGAAAACATTATGAGTATCTTTGCTGAGAGCCCTGGCACAAATGAATGTGTGATTACACATTTATATAAAAATCAAGAGGCAGAGAAGTAATTAATACATAAGATAATGTTTTTGATGCTTTGTGATTAAAATTAATGCACTTACGCCACATCCAGTTCTTTTTGAAACATAATGAGAGACTTTTCTTTTTTTAATTCTGGATCCAAGATAATAGAAAAATAATTCTAACATTGTTTTCTATTAATGTTTAGATGAGATCTTGAAACAGATGGCAAAAAATGCGGGAAATATAAAATGCTTAGAAAATATCTTAAAGATGTTGGTTTAATTCTATTGATCTTGAACATGACCAGTGCCTTCTCAAAGTCCAGTAGCTTGGTTGTTAATATCTTTTTATTGCTATGTAACTGTTTCCCATTTAGATGTAATTAGGCCACCTCCTCCTCCACCTTCCCCTTCCAAATGCTTTTATAAACAGCACCTACAGGAAATCCACAGGTTGTTCTTTGTTTATAGAAAGAGGTACTTTTTCTTTTGTTGTTACTGTTATAATAAACGCTTATATATAATTATGGTAATAGCTGCTAGAGTCTATCCAAACAAGTTTGAAATTCCAGTTAACTGCTGCAAAATTTTCTGAGGAATTATCTTTTTCCACATATTTCCTCCTGTTTCTTAGAATATATTAAGCTTAATTAAAAGGTACGTTTCAAGTATTGTTGCTAGCTTCTGCATTAAAAGAATGATAACTCATTCTCTCTCTCTGTTTTTCTTCTTCCTTCCCTTCTCTTCTTTCCTCTCCTAATTTAAGGAGAGGAATAAATTGGATGATATTCCAATTATCTGTCCAGCTGGTGAGGATCTTGTTTCACAGGATACAGAGCTGTTGTCTTCAGCCAAAGAGGATAGTTTACAGACTGAATTCCTGGCAGAAGAAATACTCTCTGGAGATGAATATGAGTGTATATCACCTGATGATATCTCTTTGCCACCGCTTTCTGAGACACCAGAATCGAACCTCTTGCGTTCTGAAACAGAGCTAGAAGAGCAGTGCTGTTGTAGTTCTCATAGCTTGCATGTCAATTCCTATAGCTTGCAAATGCAGGAAACCACTAGTATTAAAAAAGTGATGGAAGCATCTGATCTCTTAACCAATTCTGCTTATGCTGATGCTACAAATAATAGAATGGAAAGCCCATCAGATCAGTTTGAGAAGTTTTGTATCTCTTCAACAGATTCTGGTCCAAAAGTCAGAGCAGTATCTCCTTTGACTTGTAGCTTACAAGGAATATCAGAAGCTAACACTGCTTCCTGCACTATAAATGCCAAACCAGTGTGTAGCATGATGAGTGAATTGTGCAAAACACATTTGCAACACCTTGAACTTCACAAAAGCATGACAGAAACGCAAGAACAATTGCATGACTTGAATAACTGTACTAAAACCCAGAACAGGCTGCATGCTTTGCCTGATGCATTCTCAGGTTTCGTGTTTCAATCAGACACCACCAGAAGCTGTCAGAGGCAGTTGGTCACCCGAGAAGAGATTAAAAGTTCATCAGAAAAGAACAGCATGGCCAGCCTAACTGGACAGGCGCCTAACTTCTCCCAGCTTCTGTCTAACAAAACTGTCATGGAAGGTTCTCCGGTAACTTTGGAAGTAGAAGTAACGGGATTCCCAGAGCCTACACTGACCTGGTGGGTAGCTTATAATGAGAAGCAGTAAATATACCTAGTAGCAAGACATTCTTGAACCACTTATAACCACATTAATTAATCTATAGGCTAGAATAAATGGCTTGTATCCTTTCTACTCCACACTTCTGCATGATTCCCACCTTCAAAACTGCTTTTGACTATTAACCTACTTGAAATAATCTCTCTGTACTTAATTTTATGAATAATGAGAGCATCAAATTACTGCAAGCATACACAATATTTTTTAAGCAAATATATCATATGGTTTTCATATTCTGGAATATGACAAATTCCACTTGTTCAATAATTTCTTAAAACAAATGCATGCTCCAGATTTACTGTAAGTAGTCATCTGCATTTTATCAAGATCTTGGCACTATATATGGACAGACACATACACGTGTGGGCACGCTAAAATATTTATATAGCCACTACATATACATAGAGAAACACATTTATATGTATGTTGAGAGTCAGTTGTCAAAAACTGGAGAGAGGTTACAGGTTAAAAAAAAACCCCTAAATGTCTACACTAAGAGAACCAGTTTTATATATTTGTGTGCACCCTTTCTCTGTCTTTGCATTGCTGTATGTCTATTTAGACTGCATTTATGAAAAATAGAGATGATGTACTGTAAATATCTTTTAAGATGACTTTTTAGAAATTCCCTGCCAAAGGGAATAGGGACTGAAAGAGGGGCAGGATTCAAGATTTTGGTAGTAGTCCCCTATGTGTTGGAATATTTTCCTAAAATTTTACCTCATTTGTCATTTCTCCACTTATTCCATTAGACTTTCACAATGGAGGCCTTTCTTTTACTGTATTAAAATTAGATATGCCTCTTATTGGAAACATTTTGATATTAAGGTTATTATTACACATGTAAAGAATTAGACAAACTATAAGCTTTTAATAAGCTGAATTTTCTGCTGCAGCACTGAGAAAAATAGTGGACACTGCAAACTTGGTGCTACACTGTGTTGGTATCAATAAAGTTATTTTGTTTTAAGTCCTGTATTCTACAGTTTGAGGAGTATTGTTGGTGAAATGAGATACCTTCAGTTTTGTTTTATCGTAAGAAAGCATTAATTTAGCTCAAAAATACATACACTGTTGATAATACGGTCTTTTTAAAAAGCAACACTCAACCGAAAGCATTTTGCAAATTAGAAATTTATGAAAACAGAAAAAAAGTGGGTTTTTGTAATTAAAAATTAACCACTACCATGTTTTTTGTACTGATGTAGATAATTTATTGGATGTACCTGTGGAAAAGCATTTCTGTGTTCATGTTAGTTTAAATGTAGTTTATGCTGAAACATCAGGAGGCAAGAAGAGCCTTGCAAGAACAATCATCATGAGGCAAGAAAATTATCAAAAGAGAGAATTTTCTCTCACTTCCTATATGTAAATCAGGAGTCAATACCAATGCATGGTGACAGATCCTCAAGTGTTAGAGTACAACAACAGTTCTCTGAAATAACTCCTCTTACATTGTTCAGTCCTATCTGATGATGTGAATTAAGTAAATGTTAAGTGGGCTGGGGTGGAGGAGCAGGCCTTTGGCTGTTCTTTATGCTGAAGACACAAGTTCTGAAAGTTTGTATGTTGCTTATGCATCTGAAGAACCTATTTATGAGTTGAATGTGGATTGACTCAACACTTTACTAGCAAAAGTGTTTCAGCACAAAACTGAGGGCCCCAGGCCTTCATGCTACTCCCTCTAATACTGCAGTGAAATAACTGTGACTTGTCCATTGAAAATAATTTTCAGAACCACATTTTCTAGTATTAGGAATGTATTATCCTTCAGTTTGAATTGTTTAAATATTCATCCATATTTACATATAACTTTAAAACTGAGGAGTGAGAGTACAGCAGTGAGCTCTATCTCTTGCTGTCAATGTAGTGTTATAGAGATTGTGTGAATTTGTGAAGTTCTGCTTGGCGTACAGTGATATAAATCTGACTTGAAAACTGACTCTCTGCTTCAGGTACAAGAAAGGCCAGAAACTGACTGCAGATGAGCACTTAAAGCTTTTACAAAAGGAGACAAAGCATACTTTGTTCATTCAGAAGGTGTGTGATAAAGATGCTGGCCTCTATGTTGTTCGGGCTAAAAATTTGAACGGCACTATCTCATCAAGTGCCATTGTCCACGTGAAAGGTAACAGGCCACCTATTACAGGAATAGACTGGATAATGCTGTGTGTCGTCTATATTAGCATATCACTAATGTACTGGCTATTCACAAAATAAGTACAATATTGACTTCACTGGATTTAATTCTCACATGCTAAGACAACATTAAATTTATTTTCTTACACTGCAGCTTTCACAGTCTGTACCAAACCACTTTTATGTCATGCTTGATATATTGCTTGTTTCTATAGCACCAGTATTAAGTGGTTATTTTCCTTTCTCATAATGATACTGAGATTTTCAAAAAGTTACAAAGATTTTCTACAATCTGAGGCAGAGTTTTGCTTTCTAAAAATGTTGACATTACAAAGTGTTGGAAACAGTTTTAATGCTTTTAGGAATTAAATGTCAAGATACATCCAGGTAGAGTGCTCAGCTCAACATATGTTTTATGACATACCTTTTTTTGCGAAGGGGTGTGGAGGGTGTTGAAATGTTTTTTTTAAACATCAAATGTACTATTTCCAACCACATTTTTCTTACACACTTTAAAAAATACATATATTTGTAGGATAAAGCTTCTTAGTAAAGAAATCATGCCATTCATGATTGCACTGGCATAGACCAGATTTAAATCTGTCTCAGCCCAGCAGATAGTCTCCACAAATGAAAGCTGCAGTAGTTCCAACAGAGTTGTGATTGGCTGCACTGCAAAGATTTGACCCAGAGTCATCCGGATTTGTGTAAGTGGCACCTAGCATACAGTAGACCAAAAACCCCAAATGCTTACAAAATGACATGTTCCAACATACCAGTCTGCTTAGGTGGATGCTTGTGTTACTTCCTCTGTCCTCTTATAACATTAAAGATATAACTGTTTCTAATAATCCACCTATAACTTCAAAGCAGTAAATCCAAACCAGAACTTTATTGACCTACATATTGCATTTCATTCTTGACAAGGACAACCACGAATAATATTTTTTATTAAGGTAGTAATTTGTTTGTAAGAAGTAAATTAGTAAAATATTTTATAACAGTGACATAACTGTGCCAGTGGAAGATTTCATTTATAAATCCTCAAATGTGACTTAATTCTTTAGCTCCAGTACTTGCTGTATTTGTACAGTAGAAACAATTGACAAAGAGCTACATGATTTTTCCTGCATCTGTGATTTGCAGCTTTCATATTACAACTGCATTGACCTAGAAAAAATACATAGAGAGAGAATACTTACTTTTGCATAAATTGCTGAAATTAATAAGCCTTTTACTGTGTAGCATGCTATGAGCAGAATATATATTGCAAATTGCCAGGGGTCAGTGAGATTAAAGACTGACATTTAGATATTTTGGCCCAGTGACTGCAACTTTATTAAAATTCCTGTAACTTTGAAACAGGAGAAGTCTCAAGGGAATATAACCTCACAGCAATACGATAGGGAGCAGGAGGAGGAGGTGGTGTCCAGACAGGGGAACAAAGTAAATTCGAACTAAAATTGGTATTACCCTTAATGAACAACTTTCTAAGTTTATACCTATACCTAAGAATTCTCTTAGGTATAAAAATCACCTTTTTTCCTAAAGTGTACTTTCCATGTTACAGTAAAGCTAATTTCAATGATTAGTATGATTTTGAATGTTTCAGTTTTCATAAAAGTAAAATTCAGTTTAGTGTTTTTGTGTCTATGTGACTTCATGTATGTTTGTTATAAACATACAGCAAAGAACCTATGTGAGCAAGCTGACTTACAGAAGAGGCACATTAAGCAACATTAAATGGCTGTCCTACATGCTGTAAGGCTTGGCCTGCTGCAGAGCTGCCAGTGCTTGATAACTTTATCCTGTTCATAACACTCATTATCTATTTGAAAACTGGTCTTCTAGGTGATGGCTGAGCTTCAGTCCTCTTTCTTTACTGAGAGTTGCCATCATTCAAAAATTAAAAGTAATCATGGATGTTCTTTTGACTTATTTTCTGCATTTGTAAGTAACTTTATATAATACTTGGGCCACTTATTCAGGCATTTTTGCCTTCAGTATTGAGGCTAAGTATATGCACACAAAAAAAACAGGAGTGAAAGTGGAGATGTTCTCTCTCCTTTTCTGCCTTGCCTCCGCCAGAATTAGGTGTTTAAATTAAGCGTTAACTGTCATAAGGCTTGTGACAGAAAGAGTCATTGTAGCTCTGTAGATGCTGGGCTCAAAGCTGCATTGCTGTTTTAACTTGTGCATCCTTCATCTTGAAAACTACAGAAAGTTCAGTGCTAGAATTAATATTTTTCTGTCTTTTTTTGTATAGCCAGTGTGTGAGTTCAGATATGCATTTGACATTTTTTGTTGGAGGAGAGCCATTTGTTGAGCAAAACAGTGTGAGGTGAGTCTATCCTTCAGAAAGCAAGGCTAGAGTTAGGATTCCAGCCCGGCTTGGAAAAATTTTCACAAAATCACTTGTAGTTCTATCAAAACAGGAAAAAAGGTTGTGAACTTTTCATCATGTCATAAAGCAGGAATTGGAGGTGGCTTGGATCTAGACTTGTAGTTGTAGTTGGATCTGATTGCTTGCTGGCACTCTACAGAAAGACAGCTCACTATTTATGATAATCGGCTCTATGAGTTAAAAAGGCAACAAACAGACATAGATCTACTGGACAAGTGTACACGGATGAATGGATCAAATTCTTTCCCTTCCTTCGTAACACTTCCTGATGTACATCCAGGCTCCTAGGGTATTACAAGGGAGCAGGCATGCAGACCTCCTCCCTCATAAATATTTGCATTAAATCTGTTTCTGTTAACTTCATTTAAGAGGCTTTAGAACAAGTGGGAGAGATCTCAGTTACTTGCTTTACCTGAGATTTGACAGCCAGTATACAAGGCCAGTTTACAAAATTGTGTGAAGAGATGAAACTTTGAATCCAAGTCGGATTTATTCCGTCTTTTTATTAATATGATTTAGAAGCTAGCCGGTGGTGTAGCCTTTCATTGGAGTTTGGCTTACACTCAGAGTTTCAAGCATAACAAGGAGGACGGTCATCTTTCCTCTAAGAGGGGAGGAGGTAAAGAGAAGCCTCAGAGCGAGAGTAAATTTTATTCCAACATTTACAAATCTGTGCTGTGTATGCCTGTGAACAAGCATATTCTGCCTTTAGTAAAATTCTGAGTGTGTATCATGCTGCTTATGTCTGAGTATACTTATGTTTTGCTCCCTTAGCAGAAAAACATTTAAAATTAATACAATGCTGATTTTTTTTTTCCTTCTGAATTATAGTTTAAATAGTTCATGAAATTACTCTTGTTGCTAAAGGCGTGTTTTTTTCTTACCTATTTTTCTCTTTTTTATCATATTTTGAAAGTACTGTTGGTAGTTCATGTACTGAACAAGATATAAAAGTACTTTACCTTAATGGACTTTTTCAAGGCATTGGTATTTCATACTTGATTTGGGATTATGTGCTCCAGGAAAGGCTTTCCAGGTGAGGAAGCTGTATTGACATGATGCCCCTATAACTGTTCACTGCTATGATGTGGTGTTGAAACACCACACATGCTCTATTTTATTGTCTGGAGAAGGACATTTTTAAGCTGCTTCTGTCTAGAAAGTCATTGTAGTCACTCTGCCTACAAAACTACAAAAGCAGAATGGCAGTGAAATGCCACACTTGGTGAGATTGACACTCATTTTCCATCTTCAACCATAAATGCCTGTTGCCACTGACAAGTTAGGTAGCCCAGATTTCAACAGAGCGTCAGAAAAAAGATGTCAAGGGTGATCTTGTCTCCAACTATGCCAAGACAAAATGAAATTATTCCACTGGGGAAGGGTAAGTTAATGTAGAGTTCTTTGTACATCCTGATTAAAATTAAATGAGTCTAAAGCTTATATGGAAGATCCCAATAGATTACCTGTCACCCAGGGAAGCCGGCTGCCTTTCTAAGGAAAGTGAGCCTGAGTTTTGCTGTTTGATTCAAAAGCAGCTGAAGTGGCTTATGACCTCCTCCTATGCCAGTGCATCTACTTTCACTTTTACTCAGACATGTTATCTGTGAAAAATAAGCTTCCTACTACTGGATTAAATCCTGGAGTTGAGTTCCTATTTAAATGTTAAATAATATTTTTCATGTTTGACTTGTGAGAAGAAAGTGAGATGCAAATGAATCCAACTTTTAAAATATAAGTACACTATTATTTTCAAGAGCACACGTAAGTATGTAATTCATGCTATTGCTATATAACAGACACTGTGAAATAATAAAGGTCAAAACAAACACCTTGTCACTTCTGAGAATGTTGTAACTTTTGCATAGTCAGATATTATAATTATTAAATGCAAAAAGGTATAAATATAAGGCCAGAAATTGCCCCAGCACATCTGTAGATCTTAATAAATCATTTTAGAAGTACGTAATCCCTTTGTCATTAAACTTTTAATCTGAAAATTTGAATGTTTCTGTGAATTTTAGATTAATAAAACTTGGTTTTGTGAGTATGGTATCGCATTTACTTTAAATAAGGAATAGTTTTAAATGCAAAGTTTTTATGGGCATGTGGATACCAGCCACACTTTTAATTGCTGCAAGAAACAAGATTTAAAAAATTGAGACATTAGAGATACCAGATACACAGCAGGATACTGAAAGTCTCCTGGTTTTAATGCTTTGCTTTGTAAACAAAAGTGTAATCAATGCTGATTGCTGCTGTGTTGGCAATGTGGGTTTAAATACTTTTTATTTAAGGACTCTAATGAATGCCCAGAAGATTTTGCTGGAAAATTTCTGCTGTTTTCTGTTCAGATAATCTTCAAAACAAGAGTGACAGTGATGTAGTCTCATGATAGACTAATATTTTTCTGAAAGAAAACCACACTCATTCTGTTTCAGCAGTAATTTAAACGTAATTCTCCCTCCCCGCCCTCCTTTTTTTCAATAGTCCGTGTTGTACATGCTCCACTTCTTCCTTGTTTTAACCATACCATAGAAGCAGGGAAGACATCTAGGTGTTTTGTATTGTTCTGGTTCTGCTACTTTTTGGTTTACAGTGCTGAGTTTCCCTCATCACAGTCACGGTTTTGAACCTATAGTTACTTCAAGACCCCAAATTGTTTACATCTTTCCAA